TAATAAACATAAAATGTACATTCAATATAAAAGTTTACAATTATGAAATATTCAAAACTTAATGAAACATTTAAATCAAAACGTTTGCGTAATATAGCAATTGTTTCGTTAAAAATATGTATTTTTTTTAAAACAAATACTCCTACTACAACATAAATTTTCTGCAATCGTTTCGTTTGTAAACAATAAATTTTGTTGTTTAATTATACCAAGGTGAGTTGTTATTACATGTTGTACACGCTACATATCTTGACAGCAGTGATGACAATAAACCATGATACATCGTTATGCACTTAAATGCCGTATCTTCCGATGTAATCTTATCATAATTATCCGATCATGGAAGTAGTTTATATTGACAATATAATACTTCCATGATCCAATTAACAGTTGCTAAATCAACAAAAGAATACTCTAAAATATTTAAAAAATAATTCTCAAATTAAAAAAATATATAGAGTTTCTACACGCGGTAAAGAAAATATCGCTATTTATAAAATTAAGATCAGACATTTGATTAAGGTTGTTAAATATTTTTGTTTTTTGTCAACAACAACAACAACAACAATACTTTATTTTAAGAGGGTTACACAGTGAGCTATTTAACTAATCTTCCCTGAGGCCCTCATCATGAAAATGAAACAAAATGCAAACATATACATTGCATACGTTAGTATAAAAAGTCAAGTATGATAATAACGTTCAATACAACTTGATAAAATGTGATTACATGGTCATTATTTTAGTGAACAAATACATCGTTATGCATTAAATGAACTTTGCTAGATAATATTTTATTTGGTATTTTGATATTTTATTGTTTCAACATGACAACAGACAATTGGTTAGAAAAACCTGTAAAATTTGTTTTAAGTATATTCATTTCAAACGTCTTAAACTAGATAATTTAAGATTTCAACAATGAAAGTGAAGTATGCACCTGAAATCACATGCAAATTAGATTAGAAATATAATAAAAACACATCTTCAACCTTAGATTAGTTTTTAAAACATCGATTTATCAAAGAACTATAACCGCAAGTTGTAGTTTGAACCGATACTAGTTGTCTCCCTTTGTTAAATTATTTCCAACAAACAAAGAGGGTAGTGTCGGGAGAATTTAAGGCGTGTCGACGAAAATCTGACAGTTGTTCATTATGACCTGGTATAAACGCCACTCAAAAATAACTTTTTTTTTTCTAGAAATTTCCCAAAATTAGTCACGGGGCCCAAAAAACGACCGAAAAAAATATTTAAAATTATAAAAATTTTCTTATCTTATGTATTTCCATAATTTTATGAATTACGAAAACCCATAATATAGTTACAAAATTATCCGATAAACTAATATTATGAAATTTCATAATAATGTGTTAGATTAGGATATTTCATAATAGTATGCAATTTCCTATTTGCCTCGACTGATGATAGAACAGAAAAAAAAATATTATTTTTTTTATCTTGTAGCTAATGCCTCTTTAAGATTTCCGAACAAAAAACAGGATAAACTCAGGTGCTCCAGAAGGGTAAGAGGTTTCTGCTCTAACTGGTACAAATTCGGTCGGAAACGGGACATCGGTGTGATGAAGTCTTAATCGACTTAATTGTCCGCAAGAGAAATACGTTCATACCTTTTTCGTATCTTCTGTCTCCTTTCTTATCGATAGTGACTGTAGGCATTTAAGATGTGATAACACATGTAAAAATAAACAAGAATTATTGTTCCTACGTTCGATTCAGATACGTATAGAACCTCTCAGACATAATCTACTTTTTTATAGTTGTCAGATCATGTTCAGTCGTGTTCTGTATGCATGAATGATACTCGGAGTTACGCCCCTTACGGTTGACGAAGTTTTATATAGATTTTCTTATATACTAAAGGTACACGATTATATAGCATTATCTTTATAGGGAAGTTTAATTCTAAATTTTACTATCAAAGAGATGATTATTCATTTCTATTGTTAATTATTCGTTTGTAGAAGGCGACGTTCCCTTTGCACCATCTTATGGTGTTTATGTATCTCAACTTGGTCGATTCGCTCTTGTATGTAACAACTTTTTTTATTTTAAAGAAAGAAATATCTGTAATACATGTAATATTCAACAAATATTACACCAGAGTTTTTGACATGTTTGATATCACAAGCTTGTTAACACTTTTACTCAATTTTATCATCGGTACAAGGACATCATTCGTAAATATATATAAATTGCAGACATCTTATACGTTCAGGTATTTCACATCTCATCTGTTATGGTAATATTCTATACAAAGCACAACAATGTCGTCATTCACTAGAAAACCTATCCAAACCTTTAAATAGACTTATTCAGAAGGAATATAGTTACGATACTGTTGTCAAGTCATTAACGATGGCATTTTCTGGAATTAATATTGATTCACTTATAGGGTCCTGAACTTCCTTTGAAATGAGGTTTACTAGCTGTGCGTATTCCTGTGTGTTTGTTTATTTTATATTGGCTAGAGGTATAGGGAAGGGTTGAGATCTCATTAAGCATGTTTAGTCACCTCGTTTTTATGCGCCTGCCCAAGTCAAAAACCTCTACCCTTTGGTAGTCTTGTTTCTTGTTTCAGAATGGGAAGTCCTTTCTAAAATAGCAAAATCAAAATCACAAACTCTTCAACGATTGGAAAACAGCTGTCATATTCGTGACTTGGTACAGGCATTTCCTAATGTAGAAAATGGTGGGTTAACCCTGGTTTTATAGCTAGCTAAACCTCTCACTTGTATGACAGTCGCATAGAATTCCATTATGTTGACTGCAATGTGTGGGCAAAACAAACAGACATAATAGGTAAACATATCAAAAATTGGGATACAGCCGAAAACATTGTAACATAATCCTAATCACTACAAAAACAAAAAACTACTTCAACAAAGACACATTTCTTTATGTCAGATTATTAAAATTCGTTATTTACCCGAGAACACAGTTATTTCATAGTGCATTTCTTTTAGACAATACATACAAAAGCTGTATCTTAAAAAGGTTTCTACAGTGTAGTGTATTACTTTCGGGTAAACTGTAGCAAAATTATAGTAAAGTCTGCAGATCTAATTCAAAATATGGACAATTCTATGAAAATGATATCTATAATTCGTTTTACAGCTTCAGAATACTTATATTTTTATCCCTTTTCTACTTGACCAACTTATTACTTAAACTAAAACTTCATGACTCATTTTTTTTACCCGTAACTTTGTATTTACTATTTTATGCACAACATATCTAGGAATGAATTTGGAAGGTGTATGCATAACAATGTGCAAGTTATACACTATCCACATTAGGGACTTAAGGTGTAGACAAAGAAAATCAAAGGACGATAACTGTGTCCCTGGACCGCATAGGATGGAAAAACTGGACCAAACTTACAAAAACTTGGCTTGACCGTGTCGTAGAGAATTATAAGACAGTTGAAAAAGCTTCATTGAAATATGCAATGTATTATAGGCAAAATTGTCAATTTAACTTTGAACGTTGTGTGTTTATTTTTGACGTTTAAATCGAACAATTTTAACTATCACGATTTGGGCCTTAAATATTTAAATATTGCAACACTTTTTTTGTCAATGTCATTTTATATAAGATATCGTGTATTAAAATCAACAGAACAGTCATTTGATATATCAGATTTATTACAATGATTCAGGATTTAGAAAAATCTATATCAGGCTGTGTTTGAAAATAATGATTTTTGAATGAATCGAGGCCTAATATGAACATGCAATTTTCTTTTCACCCATGAATATTGTTTTGGAGTTGTTTTGTAATAAATAATTCTTTCAGACATAAAAATGTGCATGTACTTTGGTTAGAAAGAAAAGTTATACATATCATACCACATGCGTATTAAATGGTCTTAGGCCATGTAAAACTGAAATTACTTTTGGTCAATTTAGACCTTAACACATATATACATATGGAAATGCATACAGAAGATACAGGAAATAAATATTTGTTACTTTGTTCTATTTTCTGTGATAATATACTTTCCTCTAGATTTAGAGTTAACAAATAGTTCAGAAAACTTGAAATAAGTATAGAAACACAAATTTAAAACCTGCTGGATAGAACATCAGCATGTCACTAAGGCATTAAAATGGAAACAGCTGCACAATGCTTATTTTGCCAATAAAATGCGAAAATGGGATAATTATACCGAATTTCTCAAAGAAAATAAAGAATGAAATCCTGTTCTTTTATATAATTTCTCTCTCATGCTCGAGAGCACAATTATTTCGTAATGCATTTTTTGTTGTTGTAGAAAATAAATACAAATTTAAAAATCGCACCTACTCTATCTCAAAAATATTTTATAGCATGGAGTACTTCTTTCGGGTCAAATTTTATCACAATTACAAAAAAATATATACCCGTTCTATCTGTAATGATTTAAACTCTTCGTTAGAAATTTTAATGACATAATCAATATAGCTGTTAATCAAGCTGTTTTAGAGAAAATTTAAATACCATGCATAGAAAAGTTTTTAGTTAATTGACCAACGTGACAGCTTTCTATTGCCCTACTGGTTGCATTTTGAAAATACAACTGTTTCACAAACCTCGCCTCTCTTGAGGAGATATATAATACTCATAGATATTTTGTTTTGTCTAACGACTGATTCCTTGATATGATCTCTTTATTTCATCTGATAGACACAACTTGTGAATGTTACCAGTATAAACACGCATAGATAGCGACCAAATTGAATTCTGAAGAAGACCCAAAGTGAAGGGAGGGGTAGTACAGGATTTTAGAATAAGTTTAAACTCTTAAATTTCGAGTCATATACATGTTAAAAATATGCTGCACAGCCGTGGCTGGTATAAACATCGGTGAATTACTTTTGCCTATAGTCAAAGTTATTAATTGACTGGCGTCATAGCCATACAAAGTTTATATGATATTTATCAAAACGACTTCCTTAGTGTAAAACTTATTGAATATAAAAATTCATTTGTTTCAGAGATTTGCAAAACAATCAATTAACTACAATACAACAAGGAGCATTTTCAGACCTACCAGCAGTAAAAAGTCTGTATGTATACAATGTTACAATATTTTATAAAATAGCAAATGAAAACAAAATCTAAAGAAAATCAGTAGCAGAGTATGTTTAGAACTATCAATCGTAATGACCTTCTGGTGTTCTGCCTTTGAATGGAGTAACTATTGGTGACCCGTTTTGTTTAATATTCAAATGTTGATTGCCCCCATGGATCCCCGTTCCCTAACAATGTAAATTAGTAGAAATTTGTATCATGTTTGATTCTGATATATAGACGATGGCTAAGTAGCAGGGGTTCGAACCCCACTGAGGAAAGAACCAAAATTTGCCGACGCTAATTTGCAGATCTAGCATCGTGGGGATACATTTGAGAAGTAGCATATGTAAATTATGGTGTTAGCCCTGTATAACCACAAGATATCGATGGCGAACGTCTGTCGTAAAGTTGTCACATTTTAGACGTTCACAATAAAATTAAAATTTGATGTGACGGCATGGTAAGTAAAATTATCATACTTTACGATTGAAAAAAAACAACAGCTGATCTGCAAGTTATACCATCTACTTGACACTATACATCAAATACTGTGTTACAACTCTGGATAACGCCGACGAGGAAAGGCATTACGCAACAAACAAAAGCCATATTTTATATAGCCTAGTTGGTCGAGTGGTCTTGGGCGCTGGACATAATGCAGGCGGTGAAAGTAGGTTCAGATTCAGGAATTCGAATCCCGCTGAGGATAGAACACAAATTTTCTATCGCCAAATTGCAGATCTAACATTGTAGGGCTAAATGTGAGATTAAATATACTTGTCAACAAAAGAAACGATACACAAGTTTGAACTAAAATTTATCATAAATATAATAAATAGGAAAATCTTTTAAATTCATGCAAATGCATATGATTAAAAGAATATGACCAAATTAGAAAGTTACAAAATACCGAGTAATTGAACACAGGGGGCAAATTTATTTTGAAGAAAATGATCACAAAAGTCGGCACTTAATTTCGAAGATGATAATTGAGTATTCAAATATCTGCAAAGGCATTCAAAATTTTAAGCAGACCATGTTTAAGTTTAAAAGTTTAAAGTGCTAACACCGATTTTTGAAATAACTAAACTTTCAAAATTGGTTTTTCGCGTTTTTGCCTTAAATCAATAGTTTTGATGAGAAATAACACTCTGTAAAATTTAGACCAATAGGGCAATTATTTACCTCGGTACAGTGTATCCAGTTTCATGATATATGGAAAATACATAGCCTTGTATCGTTTCTTTTGTTGACTAGTATATATGTAATTTATGGTGTTAGCCAAATATACATGTAACCACAGGTTATCTGATGGAGTACGTCTGTCGTCAAGTTGTCACATGTTTAGACGTATATATATATATATATATATTAAACAACAAAAAACAACAAAATAAACATACTTTGGTTCAAAAAAGTATAATAATGATCAAATAATTCATTTAAAAACATCTGTCAATGTGGCTTGTATTAATATCGTTAAATACGTTAGCATATAACCAAAGTTGTTAAATGACTGGCGTCATGGTCACACAAATATCCTTATATGATAATTATCAAAATATATTAATGAAAACAAACGATTTCCTCAGTGCAAGATATATTAAACATTAACATTACTTTGTTTCAGATATTTGCAATACAATCAATTAACTACAATACAGCAAGGAGCATTTCAAGACCTAATAGCGCTAAACACCCTGTATGTATACAATGTTACGATATTTTATCAAGAAGCAATTGAAAACAAAATTTAAAGTCAATCAGTGGCAGAGTATGTTTAGTATTATATATCGGAACGATATTTTTGGGTTTTGGGGACCCTGTTCGTATGACTTGACAGTATTTGCTAATACTGTTATTGGTAACGGTACTTCTTAAAACAAGTAAAAAAAAACGAGCTCAAAGGACAATTCAAAACTGACGTGGTACAGGCATTTCCTTATGTATAAACGGCTGGATTAAACCTGGTTGTATAAGTAGCTAAATCTCTCGACGTCCTATATGTATACACTGCTGATTGCATTATGGTAACAAACATGTGTTAACAGAACATACAAATTTTAAGGATATTTAAACAAAATATTGCGATATAGATTGTTTTTTTTTCTTTTAATAAAAGAGATATTGCTGTTTATTCTGTAAAAAGGAAAATAAGTATTGTAATAGATTAATCGACATAAACATTTGCAAAGAAAAACAAAATGATTGACACGGATATAATTTCGTAGATTCTATCAATAATTCTAGAAATAAACTAAACGCATACAAGAATACTTCATTTTTACAACTATGTATGCAAAAGTTTACCAGGAGTTTGCAGCTACCATTATGTAATAAATACAAATTGCCACCATATGTTTTGTGAATGTTTTTGTTTCCTTAAAGTTCAAAACCATTTTATAATTAAATGTCATTAGAATATATACATGTTCCAAGGACAACAGTCTTTTTATCTGAACATTATATCTCATATATATATGATATAGTCCACAAACCTTTTACCTGATATATTGGCAATCACAGACTGATGTATGTAGGGGAAATATTCTAGTGCTGCTCCCCCTTTTTTATGCATGAATTCGTGTTCTAAATGATAAAAGGCCAAAACTCTGATTCTCAGGTAGAGACTTTCAATCTCAGTTAACCCCTGGTGTTTGATTCATATAATGATTTTTTCACTCTCCAGTTTTTTGTATTATATTTTGTTGACTTTTGTTCATCCAATTTTTTTTCTGTTGTTATTCTTGCTCGCTCTTCAGTTTTTTTGATTATATTATGATCTATAGACGGAAAGATATGGAATCATACCTCCATATTAAGTGTACACTGTAATGAAAATATCGTCTTTTCTTGTCGTTTGGATTGATTTTTTTAAGATTAAATTCATTATAATAATATTGTGAAATCATTTCGTGCTTGGACTCATGCTAGATCATTTTAATAAATCATTTGATTCCATATCTATTTCAATGCATTTGAACTTTTATACATTTAGTGCGGATTTTAAATCAGCCGATCAACACTGAACGATTGTTTTTGGCGAACTAAATTCTGCCGCTATAAATATCAGAGTTCGTATAACTCTGAGCGGAAGATGTGATAAATATCTTCTGTTGCCACATATGAAATTCAGGTTTATTTGTATTGTTAAGAATTTTAAAACTCAATCGAAATATTAGGACTGTTTATAGGAACTTCATGGATAGCTAAGATAAATATGAAGTGTAAAGTTCAACATCTGATATTCACTGATATATGTCTACCCTCTAGTATTTTCAACATCACATTTTGACCATTGGTTGGGATATTAGATCTTGAGATTTTGGCCTTTTATTCGGGTAAAAAGCTTGGTTTGATGAATCTAATTATACTACCTGTTGAAATCAATCAGGGTTGTAATTTTCAGCTTCTATGTTTCAATAAGAGGCGAAATATACCAAAGGGACATTCACACCCATAAGTCCGAAACAACTCGGCAAAAAAAGAAAAAGAAAAAAAACAGCAGACAACCAGTACATAAAACTCAACATAGAAAACTTAAGAATGGGCAACACAAACCCCACCAAAACTGTGGATTAATATGATTGTTTGCCTGTAGTATCACTGAAAAGACATTAATTGTCGAAATGCGCATCTGTTGCTGGAGAATTTGTTCCGTTTATGTTATTACAGTCTATTGCATTGTTCATACTATTGAACGACACTAATCTTGCATGTATTGTTGATGATGATAATGATAATGGATGGCTGTTAACGTCCAGCGGCAAATTATTATGCATCTCGAGGAAGAGAAAAATTTAATGTATTATGAATATGATACCTTCTTTGCACTAGACCGACACGTCGAGCCGGATTTTTAACGTTCTAGTTCACAAGGTAACCTTACTAGGACACTTTATTCTGACTATGAGCCGACCAGTCTTTGATTTTACTCATTAATGCTGCGTACTTAGTGGAGAACCAGCAAATATCAATTTCAAAAGTCTTCTTTTCTTTGAATCACCTCAAATTGTATTGTAATGGTCTCCAATTTTGATATCGGTGCTACAAGTAATTTAGTCTCGGCTACCCCATTTGAATAAGAAATGGCTATTTTCTTTAGTCTCATTTCTGGCAGTTATCTATGTTAAAATATTTAATTATGATAATAAAGTAAAATGCATCTATATCTATCAGACTGTAGCTAGGTAGGGTTGTATTTTCGTTTTGCTAAGAAAATTTGATTGGGTCAAAATGGAAACTTCTAAATTATATTATGGAAATTAGATAAGTTTTGTACATTATGAACTTGTCTGCAGATTAATTGGTCTATTAATTATGTTAAATGTTTGAAGCAATATGCTTCAATATGTGTTTATGCCTAGCAAGCTTGATAATTGATCCGTGAAATAGCACGAAAACTACTTATGGGTTAAAACAACATCCTATAGAAAATTCTACAGAGTTTGGTATGCATTATGTAATGGCAATAATTTTATTTGAGTGATTAACATATGTGTCTGAATTCGATAATTTATCATCAATGAAGATGTTACAGAAAAGCACGATGAAGATAGTAATCAGCATCCCAAATGTAAACAAATATATTTGATACAACATTCCGGGGCTTGTATTTCCTATCATGATTTCCCTGTTAGGGTGTTGCTGCTCACAAGGAAGCTATTAAATCAGAAAGTTCAATTAGTGAATTTGAAAGCACCCCTTTGTAAATTTTACGGACGCCATCACGAGTTAGTTGACCGTTATTGAATATCCGTTACATAGATGACAACGGATATGTTCCTATTGTCGAAACTACAATCCCGTCCCTTTTTCCCCAAATGTGATCTCACGAATTAGACTTATCACCGGTTTTGTACTAACATGAGCAACACGACGAGTGCCAAAAATGGAGCAAGATCTACTTACCCCTCTGAGCACCTGAGATCACCCAAGTTTTTTGGTGGCGTTCATATTGCTCAGTCTTTAGTTTTC